GTGTATTTGGATAGAAGGTTGCAATTTCAGGTGAGAAATGTTCCTGTAGAGGCTGATAAATGCTCCAACTGTAGGTAGTCTAGAAAGAGGCACAAAGTGACGCATCTTAGAAAAATGATCTACTATAACCTAAATGGTAGTTATTCCGGCAGACTTGAGTGGGTCCATAATAACATCCATGGCCTAATGGGTCCAAGGTTGTTGAGGTGTGGGGAGTGATTGTAGCAGGCCGGTGGGTAGAGTGGGAGGAGTCTTGTTTGCAGCACAAGTTGGACAGGCGGCTACATAACCCAAAATGTCCTTTCCCTCTGGGACCACCAAACATGGCACTCTAGAGTTTTTAAGGTGTTCATGACACCAAGGTGGCCAGACCACACTCCATCATGTGCCCAAAGAAGTACCACCTTCCTGAGTCAAGGGGGTACAAACAGATGATACTTTCTGACCTCGGGAAATATGACTCTGGGCCTCATGTAATTGCTGTGAAAGGGCTGTAGAGAGCTGTGCCTTAATCTTGTGAGGTGGTATTATCTGCTGTTCGGTAAGCGGACCAGTTTTGGAAGTTGTCTGGACAGAGCATCAGCTTTTTTTGTTCTTGTGTCCTGTAATATAAGAAAGAATAAAGTTGAAGCGGAAAAAGAAAAGAGCCCACTGTGCCTAATGTGAATTCAGATGTTTTGCTGTCTGGAGGTACAGGAGGTTTTTGTAGTCAGTCAGTATTGTGAAGGGCTTCGACATTCCTTCCAAGAGATGCCTCCACTCAGACAGTGTGAGTTTAATCATCAGTAGTTCTCAGTTCCCGACATCATAGTTAACTCAGCAGGAGAAAACTTTTTGGAGAAAAAGGCTACTGGGTGAACTTTACCAGTTTTTGGTTTTCTTTGAGAGAGCACTGCTGTTCTGTCTCTCCAATCTAAGCATTAAAAGTGTGATCTCTGTAACTTACAGTTGTGATGAGATAGCGATAACTTCAATCTTAGTTGAATAACACAGGCAGTGACTCGATTGGATGACACCTTGTAGATCTTGTGAAGTTTATTCCATAAACTGACAGAATCTTACAACAATGAACATCTGACAGGTCAAAAGATCATAATGTGATCTGCTTCATGACATGAGGCTTGAAGCTGAAATTCCTTACTGGGAAAAGGGGTGGGCTATCTATACAGCATGAACTGTACAGAGAGGAGCAGAGGCAAAATACAAAACACCTTAAGGCATATGACAGTCATGTGAAACATGACACTCCCCACTGAAATCTATGATTTCTATTATAACAAACTTTAGTCCAAAATAAGAAATGAAGATTCTTTCCAGGAACATCTGCAAAACAAGAAAGAAAGGAAGAACAAAGGAAAACAATGCAAACATTTAGCATAATACTTGCAGATGTTGGTCTCGAAAATCCAGGCTGAGACATGGAAATCCATATTCAGAGGGGAAGGCAACAACATGCACTATTCCTTCTTACCTCCCTTTAAATCAAGTTGATGACTTGTCTTCCTCTTTGGGCAAAAGAGGTACTAGTTCCTTTATGGGCCTGGAGTAAAGGTGTGCAGAACCTTCTTTCATGGTGGATATAGCCAAGATGTGTCCATAAATGCAGTAGTAGGTACTGCACAACTGCCGTGGTCAGCAGGGTTGAGGCTTGTGGGAACAACATAGTGCCCTTGTTCAGGCATAGAGAACTTCCTTATGCGTTCTGTTGTCGACATACACATAGAACTGTCTTGTGCGATTGTGTATATATACTAGCACTATTTTGCTGTCTGTATAAAAAATCAAAGGAGTCTGAAACATCTGTTTCAAGTTCTATCAGCTCAGCAATTTCCACAGCGAACATAGCTGCACAAAGTTCGAGCCTTGGAATAGTATGGGCAGGTTTTGGTGTGAGCTTGGTCTTGCTCATGATAAGTCCTACACCCACTGCACCACTGAGATCCATAGCTCGAAGATAAGCCACTGCAGCAATGGCTTTGTTGGATGCATCAGAGAAGACATGAATCTCTCTTTTGGTTGCATTCTTTAAGGATGCTTGGGTGTGGTATCTGGAGTTTTTCTAATGCTTTTAGAGACTGTTTCCAGGATTCCCACCTGTGTTGTTTCTCCTTGGGTAAGGGGGTTTTATCCTAGTCTGAGCTTTCAGAAGTAAGTTGTCTCAGCAGTATCTTACCCTGAATGGTGAGAGGTGTAATGAAACCTAATGGATCATAAATGCTGTTCACTGTAGACAAAACTCCTCACTTTGTGAAGGGCTTGTCACAGGCTGATGCTTGAAATGTGAATGTGTCTTGTTTAACATTCCAAAGCAATCCAAGACTGTGTTCTGTAACAGAAAGGTCAGATCCTAGTTGGAATTTCTTCACACTGACAGCATGGTCATCAGAAGGAAAGGCTATCATGACCTTGTCGCTGTTAGAGATAATTTTGTGAAGTCGGACGTTTGCGGTGGCAAGCATGTTCTGGGTTTTAGTGAGAAGGTCAATAGCTTCTTCTACATTTGGCAGAGATTTGAGTCCATCGTCTACATAGAAATTCCTTTTGACGAACTGTCTTGCATCAGATCCAAATTCAAAGTCAAAGACCACCCTAATCTGATCAGGCTTGGTAGACACCAAAAGCATGGTAGGTACCAACATTCTTCTCCTTCCGTAAGAGGAGGTGCAGCCTCAGCATGATCTCTCTCAAACACCTTCTGCATAAAGTCCACAAAGTGCTTTTCATCTCAGGCTTCTGGTTCAAACTGTGATTTAAAGAAACAAAGTGTGATTCTGCGTGTACCCTGTTTGGTAGTCTCTTTCATGGGGTACGAAATGGTACAGGTGCTAATCTCCAGTTATGTTCAACAGTTCAAAAAACTGAGTTTTTGCAAGAGATCTGTTACTCTGATCATCCAGAATAGTTTACAGTCTTTTCAGGTTGACCTTTGGGGTATACACGTACCAAGCATATCTTTGTACAGGATTTTTCACAGAATCCTTCTCCACAGACCTCTGTATATGTAGAGAACACTGGGTGGTAGGCGGTGCTTGTTCTGGGCGCTCCCCGCCTTGCTTTGCTTCAGAAAGATTGTTTGTGAGCGTAGTAGAGTTGTGAGAATATTGATAAAGAGCTTGCACATGGTCATCACTGTCACACTTTATACATCTGATGATTGCTTTACAGTCCTTTGCAAAGTGTTCTGAGGAGGCACAGCATTTTTAGCAAACCCCAAATTTCTTCAAAAGTTCCTTGCATTCTTGGAGGGTTTTCTTTCTGAAGCCGATAACATTTCTTAAGTGGATGTGGTTTGTTATGTATTGGACATTGGCGATTTGGATCCTCAATTTTCTTGTTTTGATCAGTCTTTTCAAGAACTGTAGCAGGCGCAGGTAGAACATTAGTACTTTTTACTAACGCCAGACCTCTATGGTCTCTGTGCGACATACGTGTGTTTGTAGGTCTTGGAGAGAGTGTACTGAGAGAGTTACAGTCCCCATATGAGAAACGTGGGTCATTCTTCGTGTCTGCAATTCTTTTGATGAACTCACAGAAGAAGAAAAAGGAGGAAAGGCAACTCTATGTTCTTCCTTATACTTTGATCCAAGCGCTGCCCATCTTTCTTGAATTCCATATGGTAGCTTGAGAACAATAGATTTGATGCCGTGAGAGGTGTCAAGGTAACTGAGACCAGGTAAGTTGATGTCAGCCTTAGCAAGTTGAAGCTCTAATAGAACATCACTGAGTTCTTGAAACTAGACTGTCGCTAGCAGAAATCCTTGGGAAGCTTTGCAACCTTTTGAATAAAGCTTCTTCAATGGCCTCTGGGCTGCCAAAGGTATGTTCAAGTCTGCCCCAAGCAGCATTAAGGCCTGCAGCAGGGTTGTCAATATGAACTGCTTTGAGCCTCTTGATGCGTTCAGTAGATTGGGGACCTAGTCATCTGATGAGCATATCTAATTTCTCAGTGGCATTGATGTCTAGATCACTCATTGTGGCCTTAAAAATGGATTTCCAGCCTCTGTAATTTTCAGGCTTATCATCAAACTTGGTGAGGCCTGCCTTAACAAGCTCTCTGTGGATCATGTATTTAACAAACTGTGACGTCTGTGTTTTCAGATTTTAGGTGACTGCAGGTGGAACAGAGTTGGTTGTGACGGTTGGTAGACTTATGTGGCGTGACTTGGGAACATATGTTGCTGCTAAGGCAACTGGCTTAAAGTCCATTAGCATGTTGCTTTGTAGAATAGTGCATTTGCTGGGAGGTACTCTGTTGGTGCCAAAGTAAGTGGATGCTCTATTAAATACACACCAGTGTCTGCGGCTAATTGAGATGCTGCAGTCTGATGTATTGGAAGATATAAGGGCAAATCATCTTGAGGTACAGTAGGTGCAGAGAAGAGACTTTGAGTACTTTGGCTGCTGTGACAGGGAGTTTACGTTCTGGAGTGGTGTGTGAAGAATCTGAGACATAAGATACAACTGAGTGTCTGGAACTGTTGTCTCTTTCGTTTTCACTAGCGGCTTGTTCTAAGACCCTTAACCTTGCCATGGCTGTGGCATGCTCACATTGTTTTTCCAAAACTTAAATTTCTGCCTTTTGGCGTGTGGCTTCAGCTCTTTTTTCTGCTTTCTGATGTGCAGCCTGAGCCTCCATTTCTGCGGCCTGAGCCTCCATTTCTGCGGCCTGAGCCTCCATTTCTGCGGCCTGAGCCTCCATTTCTGCTTTCTTATGTGCGGTCTGAGCCTCCATTTCTGCAGCGAGAGCCTCCATTTCTGCTTTCTTGTGGGCGAAAGCTGCCTGAATTTTAGAAGCTACACCTTCAGCACAAGCTTTTATTAGTTGTTGACTGAGTGTAGAAGACCTTGATTGTAGGGATTTGGAAGATCTTGAGGAGTGTCTAGTAGATACAGAGCAATAAGATTTGGATTCATGGAGCTGTGTTTATTCTCACTTCTGCACTTGTCTTTGTTCGCACCACTAAATTGTCTCTTTCAAGACTGAGCTCCTCAAAACGCAATAATTCTTCCAATGACTCTTGAGTGTTGTACCGCTTTAAGAGAGCAATACATTTAACACACATGTAGCGCAACTTAATGTTTGAGGATCATTGGATATATGATTTAATGTTGGCAGCTTCTCGCTATTAATATTATTGTTTAAAATTATTTTGAGCGCAGGAGGTTCACACCACTATTACATTTAACACACAGTCTTTGATAGTTCTCATAAGTAACATTCAATTGCTGGATAGCGCCCTCTAGTTGTATTGGCTCATGAGATTGTTGGGAGAGAGCAAACATGCATTTAACAGTATTAGACCATAAGTTATTAATATTAGACAGTTGTTCTTCCTTGTCAGCATTAAGATTCTCTTGCACCTCCCAGGTTGGTTTTGTTAAGCGTTTTTTTTTCTTTTGTCTAAGTCCTGCTCTGGATGTAGCTCTGATTGTGGTTGTGTATTAGTTTCCCCAGACTGTATATTACTTTCCTGAAACATCATGTTAGCAAGGAGAGGGGTTGATAGAAAGTTTACAGAGAAATGTATCAATTTTTCTGTGGGTGAGCTCAGGTTTCCTAGGCAATGGCTGCAGAAAAGTTTTCTTTCACTTTCTATAAGATTTCACAGACAAGCCATGTGCTAATGCATACAGATGCAGTGTATAAACTTGCTGTAAGACATTCACATCAATAATTTGTCCTGACAATGATGAGTGTTATGCTGAGATATACTTGCAGACATGTACAGGCTTGTGTAGAGATGGCTGCACTCTCTGTAGCTGTTATATCCAGTGTCCATATAACATCTCACTGTGTATCCAAAGCTAGCAAGGATCCTATGAAAACATTTCACAGATCTTTTGACTGTTCTGCCTCTCCAATCTAAGCATTTAAAGTGTGATCTATGTAACTTACAGTTGTGATGAGATAGCGATAACGCCAATCTTAGTTGAATAACACAGGCAGTGACTAGATCGGATGACACCTTGTAGATCTTTTGAAGTTTATTCCATAAACTGAGAGAATCTTACAACAATGAACATGAGATAGGTCAAAAGATTATAATGTGATCTGCTTCCATAAAACATGAGGCATGAAGCTGAAATGCATTTCTGGGAAAGGGGGTGGGCTGTTATACAGCAGAACTAAACCAAAGGAAATGGAGGAGCAGAGACAAAATACAAAGAACACTTAAAGGTATATGACAGTCATGTGAAACATGACAGTTAGGGTTGTTTTTTTCAATTTTGGTGGAAGGGTTGTCTTTCTAGGACAGTTCCAATTTCATATGGAATATGAATGATCACAATACCGCCCTACTCATTATGTTTTTATTGGTTTTTGCTAAGTCTACTTACTAAAAGAAAGGTGGGTGTTGTTCTATGGTCTACTGCTTTTTACTTTATTGTACTATACTTGTCTGATTTTCAGAATCTGTACCCTAATGCTGATTACCATCTTTACTGTATGCTGTTTCGTGACACAGATGTTTGGGAAATTGTACCCAAGTTTTGTTCAATAAACTTTTCTCTAATTTAAAAAAAAACAGATGTCTACCAGACAGTTGATTATAAAAGGTTACTTAACAAAGAAAACCCCTTCCCATTCATGCTGTCAGCAATGGCACCACATGGTAGTGAAATGTCACAAGGCCTGAAAAAGAAAATAACTTCTTTACACAAGAAAGGTGAAGGCTACAAGAAGATCAGCAAAGCTTTACTTATTAGTCAGAATAGTGAAGCAAAAGTGATACTAAAATCTAGCAAAGATGGAACTGCAACCATCTCACAGAGATGTCCAGGTCATCCATGGAAGTGAACACCTCGACAGGAGTGTCTTCTGATGAGAAGGGTTGAAGAAAATCACCATGCAAGTTCACCGCAGTTAGCTAAAGAAGTAGAAAGCCAAACTGGGGTGATTGTTTCCAATGACACAATATAGCGTACACTCAGGGGCGTATTTGCCGCAAAGCAAACTAGGCAGTTGCCTAGGGCGGCACTTTTCAGGGGGGCGGCATGGCTGCAGTGCCGCCCCCCCTTTCCCATGGAAGGGACACCTCCGTGGGAAAGGGACAGGGCCGCCATGGCTGAGGGACCGGTGTAGTGGCAAGATCTGTCCCCTTAACGCATCTGCGCATGTCACCAGCTGCAGAGGAGAGCAGAGTGGTGGGCGGATCCCCGATGTGCGCTCGGAGCGCTGGAGGGGCAGGGCCCGCTGTCAAGTGTGCCGGGCCCGGGATGTGCAGGAAGGCCAGGAGGAGGAAGCAGAAAAGGACGAGGTCAGGGGGGCGGAGCCCGCCCGCTCTTTTGCAGCCGCCGCTGGAGAACCTGTTGTAGAAGGGACACCATCTGGAGGAGCCCCTGCTGGACAGGTAAGTGCTTGGAGGACTGGTGCATCCCCACTCTGAAACACTGTCCCCTGATACACTGCCCCCCACCTGTTTCACTTCCCCCTCCTGTCCCCCACATTGTCCCACTGCCCCCCACCTGTCCCCACTGCGCTCCTCCTGTCCATCTGCCCCCCACCTGTCCCTCTGCGCTCCTCCTGTCCATCTGCCCCTCACCTGTCCCACTGCGCTCCTTCTGTCCATCTGCCCCTCTGCGCTCCTCCTGTCCATCTGCCCCTCTGCGCTCCTCCTGTCCATCTGCCCCCCACCTGTTCCTCTGCGCTCTTCCTGTCCATCTGCCCCTCACGTTTTCCTCTGCGCTCCTCCTGTCCATCTGCCCCTCACCTGTCCCTCTGCGCTCCTCCTGTCCCGCTGCCCCTCACCTGTCCCTCTGCACTCCTCTTTTCCCGCTGCCCCTCACCTGTCCCACTGCGCTCCTCCTGTCCCGCTGCCCCGATCCTGTCCCATGCCCCCCCATCACGCTGCCCCCTACCTGTCCCTTGAGCTCCTCCTGTCCCACTGGCCCTCTGCAGTGCCGCCCCCTCCTTTCCCCATGGAAGGGACACTACCGTGGGAAAGGGACAGGGGCTGCTGTGTCTTACCTGAGTTTGTGTCCCACGTCGATCCGGTCCACAAGGCGCTGCTGGAGGAGGGGTGGAGAGGGCGTCCGTCCGGTGTCTTCATCTTCTTGGATCTTGATCGCGATGTGGGCGGGATGACAAGCCATCCCTCTAATCTGGCCACACCCCTGGGATCACTGGGCAGCCTATGGAAGCCTGTCCCTCGCTCTGCAAGCTTTGCCTCCTTATCGGTGATTGGCCGCCAGATCTGTAGCTCAGAAAAGGCACACAGGCGAGGAAGTGGAGCTTGGAGAGGAGGAGCTGAGCGGCAGCGCGAAGATTGAAGATTGAGTGAGGGAGCAGCTGGAGCCGGTGAAGAGGAGGAGAGTGGCTGGAGAAGGAAGACAGCTGATGGGTAAGTGTCTGTGTCTGAAGAGGAGGGAGCCTGGGCTGGAGCAGGGGTCAGCACAGCGATGTAAGTATAATTGGTGTCAGTGGGAGTAATAGTGCCCCTTCATAGGAGTCAGTGTGGGAGGAATAGTGCCCCTTCATTGGTGTCACTGACACCAATGATGGGGCACTATTCCTCCCCCTGACACCAATGATGAGGCACGATTCCACCCACTACCAATGATGGGGCACGATTCCTCCCACTGACACCAATGATGGGACACTATTCCTCACACACTGACACTAATGATGGGACACCATCATTGGTGTCAGTGGGAGGAATAGTGCCCCATCATTAGTGTGAGTGGGAGGAATAGTGCCCCATCATTGGTGTCAGTGGGAGGAATAGTGCCCCATCATTGGTGTCAGTGGGAGGAATAGTGCCCCATCATTGGTGTCAGTGGGAGGAATAGTGCCTCATCATTGGTGTCAGTGGGAGGAATAGTGCCCCATCATTGGTGTCAGTGTGAGGAAAATTTAGATGCGGGGGGGGTGCCCGATTTTAGTCTTGCCTAGGGCAGCACAAAACCAAAATACACCACTGCGTACACTGCAGAGGAAGGGAATGCTTGGGTGTCGTTCACAAAAGAAGCCTCTCCTAAAGCCCATGCACAAAAAAGCCCGTCTGAAATTTGCCAGGGATCATGCTGAAAAAGAAGATGACTACTGGGACTCTGTACTCTGGAGTGATGAGACCAAGATGAATGTTTTTAGAACTGATGGTTTTAAAACATTATGGTGTCGCAAAGGTGAGGAGTACAAAGAAAAATGAATGGTGCCTACAGTGAAGCATAGTGGTGGCAGTGTCCTTCTCTGGGGCTGCATGAGTTCTGCTGGTGTCGGGGAGCTCCATATTGAAAGGAAAGATGCTACCATCACTCTCTGCCCTTGGTCGTTGTACACTTTTCTAACATGATAAGGATCCAACACACACATCTAAGGCCACTGTTGCATTTCTGAAGAACAGGGTGAAAGTGATTCAGTGGCCAAGTATATCTTCTGATCTAAACTCAATCAAACACCTATGGGGAATTCTTTAGAGACAAGATGAGCATCACTTTCCATCCGGGTTCCAAAAGAGGTTATTCTTGAAGAATGGAAAAAGATGTTGAAATATGTCGCCAACTTGTTCATTTCATGCCTAGAAGACTTGGTTCTGTCCTTACATTTGTAAAGACAGAACCAAGATTTCATGGAGGTCATACAAACTACTAGATGTAGTAATTTTTGTTGTGGATGTATTCATTTTTGCATTAAATAATTTGAGCAAAACTGAAGATTTTGTAATCTAAGTTATATTATTACCCTTACTTTCATGTAAGCTTAAAAGGTAGCCATGCATAAATGTATTACTGTATATACAGTGTTCAGCATAAATGAGTATACCCCTTTTGAAAAGTAAGATTTTAATCAATATCTCGATGAATAGAAAAACAATTTCCAAAATTTTGATAAAACTGAGTTTTATAGAACATTTGTTTAGCTTATTACATGAAAGTGAGGTTAATAATATAACTTAGATTACAAAATATTCAGTTTTACTCAAGTTAGTTCATGCAAAAATGAATACACCCCACAACAAAAACTACTACATCTAGTATTTTATATGACCCCTATGATTTGTATGGACAGCACCAAGTCTTCTAGGCATGGAATGAACAGGTTGGCGTCATATTGCAACATCTATCTTTTTTCATTCTTCAAGAACGACCTCTTTTAAAGTCTGGATGCTGAATAGAGAGTGATGCTCATATTGTCTCTTCAGAATTCCCCATCAGTGTTTGAGTGTAGATCAGAAGATATACTTGACCACTGAGTCACTTACACCCTGTTTTTCTTTAGAAATGCATCACTGGCCATAGATGTGTGTTTTGGATCATTGTCATGTTGGAAAAGTGCACGGAGTGATGGTAGCATCTTCTCTTTCAATATAGAGCAGTACATCTGTGAATTCATGATACCATCAATGAAATGGAGCTCCCTGCTACCAGCAGCACTCATGCAGCCTCACAGAAGGACACTGCCACCACCATGTTTCACTGTAGGCACCATGCATTTTTTCTTTGTACTCCTCAAACTATGTAACGCCATACAGTTTTGAACCCA